CCATGTTCTCTATCATCTCCATAATTTCTTTTAACTTCTAAATAAATAAGAGGATACCGCGTGTATTGAAAATAATAATAACAATAATAATAATAATAATAATAATAATATTTTGTGGTGGCAACAATATTGCTTGGACTTAAGAGGCTTAACACGGGTTTCAATTTGTGAGGACTAGACGGATGGTATTGCTTGGACTTAGGGGGCTTAACACGAGTCACAATTTGATAATTTGATTTGTTTATATTTTACATCTTTGTATATAAATTATTTATGAGAAAAATTATATTGAATAAATAATTGTAACCAATTTTACAATGTTTATTTTTAAAAAATGGGTGACAAGTATGATTGTTTAGAGAAAAAAATAGTCTATTTTTTTTATTATTGAATTAATGTGATTTTCTTTGCGACAAAAATTATGAAATGAACAATTAAATCATCGAAATAAAAGGAACTCTGGAAACTTCAAATACTAAATAAAATTGAATGCTTTTTTTGTATGGTTCGCAAAAGTTAGTCGAACAAAAAATTTAATGCCTTGTTTGGTTAAGAGGAGGAAGGAGCCAAGGACAAATTAATGTTGTGCTTGATAGGAAAGATGTGGGGTGAGAGGAGCATTAAGGCCTCTACCCGGAATGGGCACACAAGGATGGTGGAGCTTCCATTTTCATGCAATAAATACTTTCTGTGAACATATTTAATAAATTATTTTATTATGATTTTATTTTCAAATAAAATTATCAAACTATCCTTATATTCATTCTCCAAAACCTTATTTTCTCATACTCTAATCTCTCAACCTCTAGCCACCCACTGTCATTGTTGACCTCCTTCTTCAATCATTCTAACCTTTTGTTGATGTCGTCACCCCTCTCATATCTTCACTGACCACCCCAACCCCTTTTCTGCCATGGCTTGGCTTTGAAAGTTAGGATTAGGGATAGAGAGGGAGCCTAGAGAGAGAGAGAGAGAGATTTGCGAGGGATTTTGTGAGGTAGTTCACAAAAAAAGGTTTGCGATAGAGAGTGGTTCATAGATGGAGGGTTTGTAACAACAACGATTTGTGATATCAAGTGGTTCGCAATGGTGAGTTCATTGTAGTGAAGATTTGTTTGCCACAATGCAGGCTCTGAGGGACTATAATTAGGGGCTTCGCGGTGGAAGTGATTTACAATTGAGAGGGGGAATTATGAGCCGGTTATGGGCCGAGTTAGAGGCCGAGCAAATTGGAGGCCCAATGGTGCGTTGGGCCGCGATAACTTTGGATTTGCCCGGAGTTGGGGCTGATCAGAGATGGACCGAGCCACTTGGATCTGCGCAGGTGATAACTACGTAAACGCATTGCTCGGTCGATGGCGCGCACCATTAGCCCGGTCGAGAACCTTGTGCTAGAAGCCTGGCTGGATGGCCTTTTGTTGACCTGCACGACCAGTCTGAAGGTCGGCCCCGCCGGAATACTGCCGAGCTTGGCTGGAAAGGATCTCAGTTCTTGGAGCAATTGGGCATGGAACACAGCATGGCCGTCGACAGCTGAGAAGATGCAGCCCGGCTGCCGAGCTCCCAGTAGAGTGGGTTGGCAGTCGGGTTAGGTGATGTTCAGCAAGATTTGTGCTGACAGATGGGAACAGAACCACGTGTCGAGAGATCACTGGGAGTAAATTTGGGACACAGAAGGTATATAAGCAAGTCTGTGCCTCCCATACTGCGCAGACGAACATTGGGTAAGAGAAACACTTACACTCTATTCACTCCCTTCTCTCTACCTATCCTCAGGTGTGTGCTAACTTGATCGTCGGAGGGGTTTTCCGGCCACACACCGCCGGGTAGCTCACCGCTGTTGTGTACGCAGGTGATCGGATAGAAACGGAACTCGGAAGCAAGGAGAGCGGGCTCGCTTGGATATTTGCCCCCCGCACAACAATGTTAAGGGGTTAGTAAAGGGAGGCTTATTGTGGTTTGTAGCTCGGATAGAAACGGGTTGTAGTTAGGGTAAGGATTTGAAATTAAAGAAGATGATAATATTTTTGACATTGTAGATTGTGTATTGAGTAAAATATGATATTCTTGGGAAAAGATGCATATAGTGAGGATTTGGAGTATGAAAATACAACCACTCTAAGGATGGAGAGATGAGGGAAAAATAGAGTAATTTTATTGCCCCTCTCAACTCCGGCTCCTTGCCCTTCTCCAGCCCCTCATCTTTATTTTACCTATACAACTCCCCGTTCCCGTTTCTCTGTTACCACGTCGCCTCTCCTTAGCCCATTCTCGCACCCGTTTGCAAACTTTCTTTCTAAAGCTAGCGATCGCAATTAGCTCTCTCTCTCTCTCTTGTCATCGGATCGCCGGTGTAGGCTAGGGTTATGAATGGGTTTAAGGGGCTGCCAGGGAAGTCTGACGTCGGTTTTCTCTCTCCTCTATCTCTCTTTGCACGATAGAGAAACGCAGGGGAAAGATCGCTTTGTAATGGCCGATGTGAAGGGCTAGGTTGTTTGCGATGGCAAAGACAGTTGTTCATGGTGGTGGAAAGTCGCCGGTGGTTGTGATGGTAGCTGGGGAGGGTTGTGGTGTGGCTGGTGATAACAATTGAATAAATTGCTGGTGGGGGGAGAGAGAAAGGTTTGTAGCAGGAAAAGGGGTTGTCGATCAGGTAAGGAGGCTATGGGGGTTGTGATGGTGGCTGGGTGTCGATGATGGTGGCCGGAGGTGGAAAGCAAGCAACAAAACTGGTGGTAGGTGGTAGTGGTGCCGAAAGATAGGGTTTAAAATTATGTCCAAAATGGTAATTTGATAAATGGATATAAGTGTTATAAAAAAAAAATATGAAAATAGTGTATACTAAGAGGTTTGGTGGTTTGTAAATAGAGTTTCTCAAAAAAATATTGAGCTAGGTTTTTAACATGCCAAACTATTTTTTTGCCCTCTATTTTGCACATCAATTGTATCTAAATAAACCACCTTTTCTTTTGTATTTTTTATTTAATTTTTATTTTATTTAATTTTTATCTTTACTGACTTTTTTTAAAAATCATGTCAATTTTTTTATTTTTCTTTTGGATTTTTGTTTTTGTTTTTGTTTTTGTTTTTTTTTTTTTATCTTTATTGACTTTTTAAAAAAATTATGTCAAATTTTTTATTTTTATGGTCCATCTAGTAAAGACAAATCTAAAAAGTAGCATTTTTTAGAAAAATTCTTAAGAAAATTTTAAAAAGCCAAAATAAGCCCAAAAAAGTCACTATTTTTTGTTTATGGATTTTTTAAGAATTTTTTCAGAAAATTTAAAATTTTCAATTCTTGTTGAGTTAAATTTAAAAATCTAACTTTTTTTAAAAAAAATTATATATATAAAAAAATTCACTAAAGATGAAAATAAGCCAAAATAAAAGCCACCAAATAATCATAAATACCCACCAAAATGCCTCTCAAATACTTCATAAAATCTCTTATTATTTTCTCCCGTCATTTCCCCTAACCAAACAAAAAATAGGAGAACCCAATCGCTTCTTTGAGTACCCACTTCCCTTTCCTCTCCATTTTCATCATCCCTAAGGCCCCGTTTGTTTTAGGTCATAGGGAGGGTATTGGGACTAGTAATATCAAGGTATTACTAATGCCTTTGTTTGATTGCAGAGATAGCCTTGGGACTATTAGTCCCTTGGTATTACTAATACCTTTGGAAGGGGGATTGGTAAGGAAGAGGTAGAGATGGTATTAGAAAATAGTGAGGGGATTAGAATTTTTTTTATTTTTTATATATTGGGATTTTTTTTTAAATATAATGTTTAATTTTTTATATTTTTATATTTTTTTATTATTTTATATAAAAATAATTTAACAATTCCTTATTATTAATCCCCTCACTATCAATCCCCTCACTAACAATCCCCCACTATTAATCCCCTCACTATCAATTCCCTCCATTCTATCTCCCAAAACAAACGGGGCATAAGAGTTAATAGGATCACACTCCCACTCTCTTTGGCAAGATTTTATTATTTCTAAATTCTTATGTCTCTTATTTCAAAATATTCATAATAGTTAGATTACATGAGAATCTCAAGGTACGAGAATCTTAATTAAGACATGATTTAATGATTATAAAATTATGTTTGAATCATGAATTTAGAAAAAAAAATTTAAGAAAAATGCTATAGACCCCAAATAAATTACCAAACCTTTTACATGGGTAATTTAGGGATTGTTTGGGGTGTCCTAAATAAGTGCACTTTTTATTTTTTTGGACTAAAAAATTGAGGAAGAAAATATAGATGTTTGGGTTAACTTTTTGACTTTTTATGAAAAAAATGTGTAATAAAAAATTGTAAAAATTGATTTGTAAGAGAAAATTATGATTAGGAGTTGTGCAGCCGTAATTATTGACTTTTGGTGAATAGTGTTAACTTTTTAACTTTTTGAGTAACTTTTTGACTTTTTGACTTTTCCTGGACATGCCAAACTTGGAGAGGAGAAGATGCGATGTCCACTTGGAGATCAATATTTTGATGCTTTACCATTGTGTTATGGCCCTATTTGGAAAGTAGATCGAGGGTTTTTTTTTTAAAAGGCTTTCACAACAAAACAAAATATGTTAAAATAGTTAATAATACAAAATATCACATCAAACTCATAATCAATTTCATTTTTTTTTTCACAGACATCACATCAAATTATAAAAAAATCCAACCATATTTCCAAACACAAAAATTTTAACCTATAAAAATAACCAAAAACTAAAATAACCAACTTATCAGATATTGAATGAGGTGTCAATGAGTATGCCAATCATATTCTAAGTCCATTACCAATTGGACGATATTTCTGAAATTTTTTTTAAAAAAAAGAACACAAAAATATATTTTTAGATGATCAACAAATTAGTAGGGCTTATCCAACCTAAATATTTTTAATGAAATATCAAATTTCATGACAATCTTCACTAGTGTATCTACACACTTTTACACAATGGAATTGATCGACTTTCAGAGAAAAAAATAAATATCATCTAACAATCACGAGACTGAATATTTTATTTCATTAAGATATGAATTATTGTTCACATAAATAATAAGGATATGAACACCCAGCACAGAGATTTAGTGCACTCTGGTGTGATCTTTACTTATTTTGATTACTTGATCAATCACTACTTATAATTGAAGCTCATTTCCATCAAACAACATTTGTCCAAAGAATAATGACTTCATAAATATACTATAAGAACATATTTATATGTAGATATATTTAAATTAATGAGTGCTCATTTGGACCAAAAATGCGATTGTGGCAAGTTTTGTCACAAGGATAAGCACAATCGATCTTTTGGAAAGGGTTCCTCTCATAGTACCAATCACCAACTGCCTTTGCAATTGTCTGTCGAAAAAAAAAAAAAACAAATTAGTTCAGAAAATAAATTTGATTTCCATTAAAAGAATAAAAATAGAAAAAAACAAAAGGGAATAATAAGTATGATAAAAGCAGTCTCTTACAATTCCACCGAGTTTTGGAGAGTCAGTCCTCATCCATGTCTCCTGCACTTCAGTTTGGCAGTGAGCATAGCAAGAGTTGATAAACAATCCTTTCGATGAATCGCCGCCTAGTCCTGTCAATGCACTTAAAAATGCCAACCTGAATGCTGAAAAACAAATGCCAAAAACAATGTTATTAATCAAATTTTCATAACCCTTTAAAAATATGGAGGAAAAAAAGAAAAAGAAAAGGTTGAAGAGCTTAAAATAGTTACCATGCATGGTTTGTAGCTGATTAGATGAACACTTAGTTATATCAAGCTTGCAGCTATGCCAGAGGCCATGAGGATCAGCAACTCCTGGTGCCAAGATGTTCTTTATCTGAATAAACATAAAACAAATCAAGGAATTAGTAAAAACAAAAGCAAGCAATAAATCAATAAATCAGAAAAAACATAACACAACTATATTTATTATTCTCTTTTGTTTTAGGCTACAACATTGTGCAGAACAAGAAGCTGTTCAAAAAGAAAAAATAAAAATATAAAAAGTTCATTGAAACCTTAATAAAATCAAAACATCTAAGCAGTCTTTTCATCGCATAGGCATATGTCTGCACGTGTGATGCGCACACACATACACAAAAAAGCCGAATAAAATAAAAAGATATGAATAAAAATACCCTTCATAGCATAAACAAATAGTTAAAATAATGATAATGAACCCGCCTTTCGACAACTAGTCTAACTGGACATAATCAATTTCACATTAACAAACAGTATATGTCGGATATGCATGACATGTGCCGAAACATCCAACTCATATTTTCAAATTTTGTTTCCCAAACAAATTCTCTGTTCTTATGAGAAATAACATAGGAATAGATTCATCAAACAGAACAACCAAAAACGGGTTAAGCTGGGAAAAAAAATTCAAATATTCTTAGTTTCACACTTCTATGATATAACAATCGCGTAAATTTGAGTATTTTGTTGATTTGTAGGGATGAGCTAACCTGCCATGAATCGTAGGCTGCGTTTACTAGAAAAAGTGGTGTTTGAATTTGCTGAGCCATGTTTTGGGGGAAAAAACACTGCAACATTGTTGAGATGTATTGGTACAATTGACAAGAAAATAGGGAATAAGGAACAAAACGATTCAGATACCAAACAACTCTTACCAAACCAGGTCTCATTTTTGAAGTGCACGATATGGGTAAATTTTTCGCTGATCCCTGAGTAGCCAAGTCAAAGAAATGTTAGGATCTGAGCTCACATCAGCAAAATGAAAACCACAAAAATTGTAATGGAAACATCATGTGAGATAGAGATTGAGAGAGGGTACATGTGTGGTGACTACGTCGTTGTAGAATGCTTCAATGTGTTGTGTTCCGGAAACATCCTTCCTGTTTACAGTACCATGGCGTTTTTAGTTACAGAATAAAATGAAAATTTATCAATTCTTGCATAATTCAGAAATATGATTGTGATTGTAAGTCGTATAGAAGAGCTTACATATTGATAAAATAGCCAGCGTCCGAAAGGCATTTTACTTTAGTACCGATGGGTAGGAGAGCTCGGAAGCTATCACAATGCAATATGGATGTTAAACCACCAGCTGAACAGCCTGAGATGATAGCCTGTTCTAACAGAGTTTTAGGAGTAATTAAGAACAATGATAATGATGATGAAGAGGGAGAAAGAGAGTATGCAACATAGATATGAACCACACTTACATTTGCAGCATTCTTCATTCCTTTTGCTAATAGATCCTCAATAACAGCGACAAAAATCCTTGCACCTCTGAAGTGAAGATTAGTGGCCTGATGAAAGTAAAAATACAATCATAAATCCAACAAAATACAAATTTACAAGCGATGTAGGTACTAATCTCCTACTTTTGTTGTAATTGCTACTAATATAACTCACGGGATTGACTGCTTCGACATCGCCTGTAAATGATGACCCATCGCAGTACATAACCTTGATCCTATTCCAATTATAGAAGTCTGTGTATTGAAATAGAGTTAATTTTCTTAATTAGGAAAGACGCTCGAAAACCTGTGAAAGCTCAAAGGGAAAGAAATGAAATCCAGATCAATTGGGCATACCTGGATTAAACTTTTGCAGGTTGCTCAGAAGCCCAGAGAAAGCAAGCTGATTTGCCATTTGCTTAGATGAACCTAGACGAGTGTTCTTACGGGCAAGGCAAGTTGTAACATTGTTACACCATCCTCCTCCCTGAAAATACAAAGTAGACAATGTTCATTTTTTTTTATTTTTATTTTTATTTTCGGGTAGGATGTTCTCTATAAAATCCATTAAAGATCTTGCAATGAAACTCTCAAAGCAATCAGTAAAACCAAAAGACTAATACATCAAATGGGTTTTATATAAAAGCGTCAAATGCCTAACTAACTTACTCACAATGAACTGCCAAGGATAGTTATCTTAGCAATCAGGTGGGGTGGGGGCAGGGAGCAAGAACATATAGAAGTTTCTAAGATTATGAGCATGTATATATTTTATATATTAAATATCCTCAAAAATTACTTTCTTCTGTTCAGTTGTAATATGTGTTTAAATATGAATTATTATTGAAGTTTGATGTCAACAAATTGTTTTCATGAAGTATAAATAATATAATATAAACACAAAGTATTTTAATAAGTTTGAGTTATTTTTCTTTTGTTTATTTAACATTTGTATGTTTCACAGCTTGTATCTCTGTTGAGAGAGATTTTCTTCTCGATGGGAGCTAGTTTCTTACCTGGGAGGACAAAGTTATGTTTCCAAGTAAGAAATGTCACCCAAGTAAGAGTTTCCTAGTACCAAACATCAAAGCACTCAATTACATCATTGCAATTATCTAATTAGCATTTCAAAAAAATCAAAATCAGTTCTCAATTCAATTTCCAATAAAACTGCAGAAAATTGGGTATCTTATATGATTTCACAATTCTTATTTTTCTTTTCAATCATCATCTTAACAACAAACAAATCATTTTTGTATTGTTAAAAAAAATGGTAAATGAAGGACCAACCTCAAAATGAACCAACCAATTGTTAATTCCTGCTCCAAACCCCTTATCAAGATGGTAAGCCGGGGGAGACCCATCCAAACAAACTGCACAATATCAGAATCCCAAACACATCATAGTCAAGATTGAAAAAAAAATTTAAATTGGCTTATTATGAAGAAGATTTTAACCTGCTCCTTTTGCAACAGCATTCTGAACATAAGTTATGCCAACATAGAAGCCTTCTGTTTTGAGCAATATCAGTACACAAACTAGCATTTGCAACCATTGTCCTAATCTCCCATTGGCCATTATGCACCTCTGTTAAACATACCGTACCATTGAAATTCTAAAAATTATATGTAAATAACAGAGAAACCCAAAAAAATTAATAATAATAATTAAATTAAATTAAATTACAAGGAATATATTGCGAAATTTGAAACCAAATAACCAATATACGCAAATAGATATATGGGTATTTTATGAAGAAACCATTTATTTTTCATTTAAGAGAGTGAACTGAGATTATATCAAATGAATTTAGATAGGATTCAAGTCCTGATATGGGATACCTGAAAACAGGAAGAGATAGAGAAAATATATTGTTTTATTGATAGAGAACAAAACCCAGATGACAAGCTTTGAAAACCCAAACCCAAACCCAGTATTGATAAAACAATAGTCTTCTACAGAAATAAGAAGTGGGCTTGAATTGAACTGATACACTAGTGTCAGTATATATATATATGAATTGTGTGGTGTGTTTGGTTTGGTTTGGTTTTATTTTTTTTATTAACCAAAAGTGAAGAGAAGAGCCGACCGACAAGAATTGGCTCGAAAGCCAGTAAAAAAACAGAGGCACCAAAAAGTTAACAACAATGATTCATCCCATTAAAAATATCACCACTAATAGCACTAATGCATTAAAAAAGTAAAAAAAAAAAATAAATAATACAACTCCAAGACCAAAACATCACATCATTAATGGCGGGACCCACTGCCACCTAATTAGTGGAAGCACTAATTAGTGCTCCCAAGCATTTTTCAAAAGTTAAACCCAAAAAAAAGCTGCTGCAATGCGAGAAAGAGAATTTGCAGTACAGAAAATCTGCAATTAATGACTTACAGGTGGATAATAGTGATTACTGTTTTTTAAGGGGTTAAACTTTCGACTCCTCTAGACAATAGATTTTTTTTTTTATAAGACTTATTAAATGAAGGTATCTATGAGGCGATGTTTTCATAAACTCTTGTTTAGATTATGTTTTTGTAGGCTTTTACTGATAAAAAAAACCTTTGTTTAATCATAATTCTTATTAATAAGAAATCTCAACTATTTAATCCAGTTAACAGTTTAACAGTGGAGTAGTCAAATCTTATTTTTTATTATTATTATTTTGTTCAGTGGAATTAGGGGCATAGAATGTTTGAAATATATATTACATATATTTGAGATAAAAAAATATTTGCATTTATAATAACCAACATATTCATATCATATCTATAAATACAAACATATATGTTACATCGACTTACAGGTGGATAATAGTGATTACTGTTTTTTAAGGGGTTAAACTTTCAACTCCACTAGACAACAGATTTTTTTTTTTATAAGAATTATTAAATGAAGGTATCTATGAGGCGATGTTTTCATAAACTCTTGTTTAGATTATGTTTTTGTAGGCTTTTACTGATAAAAAAAACCTTTGTTTAATCATAATTCTTATTAATAAGAAATCTCAACTATTTAATCCAGTTAACAGTTTAACAGTGGAGTAGTCAAATCTTATTTTTTATTATTATTATTTTGTTCAGTGGAATTAGGGGCATAGAATGTTTGAAATATATATTACATATATTTGAGATAAAAAAATATTTGCATTTATAATAACCAACATATTCATATCATATCTATAAATACAAACATATATGTTACATCTATACATTTTGTGTTGAAATTTTTTGTATTCTTAGGTCTCATTTGTCAATTATACATTTTAATCAAAAAGTTAAAAAGTTGTTATAAGTTGTCACATTACTCTTTCTATTTTTCTGCTCATCTTTTCGTAAAAAATTAAAAAATTACTAAAATAACATTATCTCAAACGAGCTCTTAGACTTTTTCTATTTTGTTTTGTGTAGATAAAGAAAGTATAAATTATTTTAGAAAGTGACTTATAAAGTTAGCTTATTAACTTATTTAGGCCTCGTTTGGAAATAAGTTTTTTTTAGTAACTTTTCGATTTTTTTGCTAAAATGTGATGTAAAAAAACTAGTATGTTTGAGATGATTTTTTAGTTTTTTACGAAAAGATGTGCAAAAAGTAGAAAGAAAAGAAAATCTTTGACTTTTTAGTATGAGTTATTGACTTTTTTGATTTTTTTAATAATTTTTTGATTTTTTGACTAAAATGGACACTTGCCAAACGAGGCCTTAGATTGCATTATCTTTATATTTTTTTATATGTCTTTTTGTACTAAATTTAAAAATAAACTTATTTAGTACTTTCTACAATAACCCATAAGAATTTACGTACTAATCTAATGATTTATTAATATTTTTTCATCTTTTTTTAAAAAAAAAATTAGGTCCAATTAATTATTAGGTCTCTCTTATTGAGTGGGTATATTGCCAATCTGAAATTTCTGAAAAACAAAATAATTACTTGTAAACATAGAAAGAGAGTGTGAGAGAAGAAAATTTATTCAACAAATCTGGTACATTTCGTCATCATTCTAATATAATGTGCTAAACTGATCAATTTTTTTTTAAAAAAAAAACTGATAGTTTTCTTTTTGATTAATAATTTATTGGCAAAGTTTTCTTTTAACAGATTTCATGTATTGTGATTTTTTTTTTTTAATGTATTATTTTCATTAGTCAATTACACTGCTGATTTGATCCCAAAAAAACAAAAATTACACTGCTGATGTGGTAGTCTGAGTCCATGAATGCCTCGTGAGTGAGAGGAGAGAGAAGTTGCGTAGGCTAGCATTGGTGGAAACGAGTCAAGATTTTCTTCTTGCATTTCTTATTTGTAGGGTTATTGGGCCTATTTTTAGACCTAATTTTGATAATCAGAATCATTCATATTTTAAAATTTGTTTAATATATTATACCTGTAAAAAATCAAGTTGATTGGATATCAGAAAGAATGTGTTTGGAAAATTGTTTATTAAATTTTAAAAAAAAATTGTTTTTCGTTCGATTTTTCCGAACACATGCTTTCTGATATTCGATCAACTTGATTTTTTACAAATATGATATACTAAACAAATTTTAAAATATGATCTATTCGGATTATCAAAATTGAGGCTAAAAGTAAGTCCAATGGCCCTGCAAGTAGGAAATAATGCAAGGAGGGGATCTTTGCTCGGCCGGTGGAAACACTTGGGAACACGTGGACGTCAGTGATTTGTTGAAATATTGGGACCCAGTAAAGGTCGTGCGCATCATGTGAACCTGTAGAAGCATGATTCCCCCACCTTTAAAAGTCATTTTCACCTTTATTGAAATTTAATTTTATAAAAAAATAAAAGTATAATAATTTAAGGTTTTTTTTTTATATTTTTTTATTATGATAGTTCAGGTTAACTTCCGTTCACTTTGACTAATTTTAAAATTCAGTCTACATAAATTGGACAAATTTTGAGATACTATTGATATTACTTTAAAAAAAATTTAACCAAACAAAAAATTACTGTAAAATAATTTTAGAAAAAATCACTCTAGTAGTTTTTAAAATTAAAACTCAAAAAAATTGAATATAATTTTATAATTAAGAGTCAGAAGAATTAAATATAATAATCAATGTTACATTTACTAAAAATTTTACTTTCCTTATATTATTAAAATAGCATTTATGTAGTATTTAATATGCTATTATTATAATAATAATAAATTAAACATATTTGTGAATTTTTTTAAAATACTTTCATAAGTAGAATTAAATCCTTATTCGAATTAATACTATGATTATAGTGATGAATTTTCTAGTACAACAATAGAACCGTACCATACCAAAACAAAATCATTTTTTTACAGTTTAGCTCAATTTGATTCTAAATGTTTTAAAAAAAATCTCAATTCACCATACATGGTTCTATTTTTATTTTTTTTATTTTTTCTCAAAAATAACCTAAATCCAGCAGGCCACGCACCTCTAGATAGGAGGACCCATGCATGGAACAAGAATAAAATAGCTTTCCATCCGTGTACCCAATTAATTAAGACATTCATGGCTGAGCGTGCTTGGCCACCGACTCTCTTGCATTACATTGGTGTCATTTGAGAAGTGGGTTGATTTTTTAATTTTTTAATATTTTTAGTTATTTTAGTCTGGGTTAAAAAGTTTAGTTTGGGAAGGATTTTTTAGTTTTTTGACTTTTTTTTGTGAGAGAAGAGTGTAATGATTCTGGGTTAGATGTGATGTTTTGTTTGTTATGGTTAAAATAGCCTATTTTGCCTTTTGTGACTAAAATAACCAAAAAAGCTTCCAACCCACCTTTCCAAACGGTGGCTAAAATAGTAAAAAGTTAGTTTTTTTATTTTTTGACTTTTTTGGTAATTTTTTTGGTAAAAAATTGAGTTATTTTGAGTAAAAAAATTGACTTTTTTAACTAAAAAAAGTTAAAAAATCAAAAAATTGATTTTTTACCATTGTTCCCAAAAGTGCCGTTGTTGCCAAACAAATGAATTTTTGGGCATGTGGTCCACTTTTATGAAAACAATTTAGATTCGTTTCGTGGTGCTTTTGTTTTCCAATAAATACCAAATCATTAGAAAACAAAAATAATAATAAATAATAAAATATCAAATTATAATCATTGTGGGGTGAAAAAATTTCCAATAGTTTCTACTTGACTTTTGCATACAAATCATGATAATGCATATTTTTCCTCCAACATGCCATTGAAAGCTTTTGCATACAAATCATGATAATGCATATTTTTCCTCCAACATGCCATTGAAAGGTGAAAGCAAAAGCGAAAGCATTTAAGTGGACACTGAGGCTCCGTGCCAAAATTGTCTATTTTAATTAATTTTTTAATTATTTATAAAAAATAAAAAGACTAATATAACAATTTATAATGATATCAACAACAAAATATCATGTTAATTTCATTTTTTTTAATGAATATTTTTAAAATTGTAAACATTTTTTTTTTACTTTTTTAGATGCACCTTACTTAGATATATCTAAAAGGTAAAATATTTGTAAAAAAAATATTTTAAAAAATTAATAAATATGCAAAAATATCAAAAATATTCTGAATTTTCATATTTTTTTGTATTTTTGGTATTTAGTGAATTTTTAAAAAAAAATTTACAAAAGTTATACTTTTTAAGTGTATTTATGTTTGGTGTGTCTAAAAATTAAAAAAATTGCTTAAAATATTAAAAAAATTCAATAAAAACAAAAAAATATGAAAAATAAGAAAATATAATTTTTTGAAAAGTGTTTTCAAAGGACTAAAACCAAACAAAGTGAGATATTATTAGTGATTGTATTAAGAATACTATGTGAATATATGCCCACTAAATTGTAAGAAAAATAAGAGATGAGGTTGCCATATATATGTATATATATATTCCCTTGCTATTTAAAGAGTATTGTCCTATATTCTAAACATACTAGATAATTTTTCATATTGTTTAATGTAGCTTATTTTCAAATTTACACGTTTGATTATATTAATTTCAGCCCTATCTAAATAAAATTGGGCTAATTTAA